CTCTACTCCATGTAAATGCTCTTGGGTTGGCTGCTGATCTGCCCTGTACCAGTCTGAACTGCTCTTAGTGGCACTGACCAAGGGAATAGGGCCACAGGTTTTATATAAAATATCTCTGAGTTATTTAACGCAAAATCCTTGAGGACATACACTAAGCTATGAAGCAATACATAATTTCAAGCTGGGGTTTCTACTTAAGAGCACTGCTGCCTTTGTTGGCATGTATGGTAACCTAAGGTTTGATCACATCAAAACAAATGCCAACTTGAAATAATAAAGGGCTGTCTCCTCCTTTGCTATATAAAGTGGCCTTTCCTTCTTCCCTATTGAAGAAGAGTGTAGCTAGTACAACATAGAATGCCCTCCCTATACATCCTCAATGAGAAACTTTCATCAATCTCCCAAACTGAACATTTTTGTTAAAGATATAGTACTTCCTCCTGGGAGGCAGCTGCAGAAAGATGGTGAGCAGAGATTAGTTTGTTTTACAGACTGAAATACTGTCTCAAAATCAAAACAAAATAAAATCAAAAAACAAAAACGGAACTTTCTCCAGGTACCAGGGCAGTCCATCCTTAACATCACCAGCCTCCAATACAACAGTGAAGAGTGGTATACCTGCACAGAGGCACATACACTCAAGTGCACACACAAAAACACACACGTGTGCACACACATATAGTATATGTTATATACAAATATTCCAGTTCCTCCTTTCCTCCATCATCCATGCTTTTATTACAGACAGAAATGCCCAGAGTTTCCAAACAGACTACAGCTACCATCAACATAAGCAAAGGAAGAAGATAACAGAAACAGATAAATCCTGAGTTATTTAGGACATCACATCAGTGAACTCTGGTACCCACTAAGCCTGCTATGCTAATTCAGGATAACGTGTCTTTGCTCTCCCCTGAGCATAGTCTATTTCTGCCTCAACCTCACTGTGTTCCAAACCAGAATAAGCTCTAGTGAAAATCAGTGTACGCACAAGGACATTCTTCTGCAGATAAACTTATGCATGCCCATGTTCATGATGGGAACATTCTAGACACTCTCTGGCATGAGAGATGTGGCATCTTGAAACATTTCCCCTCAGAAGGGATACGTAGCCTTTGGGAGGAAATGCTTTTGATAAGTGAAGCATACACGTAACTCTTCATACATATTACAATCCAATGCCAATAATGTGGGGTTTTTTTGCACCAAATGCATGGTAAATCATGCCATCAAAATAAATTTGCTGAGGGCTAGATAGATGGATTAGCAGTTAAGAACACTTGTTGTTCTTGCAGAGGACCAGGCTTCCATTCCCAGCACCCATGCAGCAGCTCACGACTGTCTAAAACTGTATATAACTGTAGTTTTAAGGGATCCTAACCTCCAAGGGCACCAGGCATGCATGCGGTGCACAGACATACATGTGAACAAAACATTCATACACATAAGCTAAAATAAATACATTTTTTAAATGTTATAAATAAATGCTTAAAAATAAATATTCAAATATAATTTAGACAAATACAGAAAAGATATTCTCAAAAAAGTCTAGAGACAGAACCCTCAAGAGTTTTTGATTTTTCTAAAACACCCTCATGCCCTTGAGCTTATTTTTAAAAGGCTTCCTAAGTCCTACATAGAATTCTCATATTATACTGCAGGATCTTTTTCCCTTTTACAATTACAAAGGCATTATATTGCAATTCTTTCCATTAGGTAACACTTTTAATAAATACAATATATTTTACTATTTATATTTTTCATGCTTATTAACACCTTTTAGAACAATGGCTCATCAGTACCTGAAGCTGTTAAGACAGGTTTAATCATACCTTAGGGCTCCTCACACTACACTCCTGCAGTACTCCAAATTACTCTTGGAGAAGCCCACACGACACTCTGAAGTACATAACAAGGTCTTTCAAAAATATCACAGAATCATACCAAGACACTCAAAATCACACTCTGTGTCATCAACATTTAGAATACTCATTAGTCCTCTAACTTAAAGGTTCATAAAAATGACCACACACAGTCAGCTCCTGGATGACAATGCTATTAAAAGCAAGCTGCTACATGAAAACCTGCTAGCAAGTAATTTCCAACTCACAAAACTTTGGCCCTAAACACTTGTTTTTAAAATTAAATTACAAACACTTCCTTTTAGGGCATTCCTGCCTTGATCTCTACCTGGAAAGAACAGCTGGAAAGTTATGACTATTCTTCCAGAGGACTCAAGTTTAATTCTTAGAACTCACATCAGATGGTTCACAACTGCCTGTACCCCCAGCTCCAGTGGATCTGAGACCTTCTTCTGGCTTCCATATGTACCTGCACTCGTGTGTGTGTGTGTGTGTGTGTGTGTGTGTGTGTGTGTGTGTGCACATGCATGCGCACACATACGCACGCACATAAGCTTAAAGACAGGAATAGATCTTTGTTTTGTTGTTTTGTTTTAAAGACAAACATATAGAAACCATAGCATGGGACACTATGGGAAACTATACTGTTACATAAAGAACTAAGAGTGTGGAAATGAGAGGAAGCAGGTGATTCTAGGGATGTCAGGAAGCTTTTGTACAAAGTGTCATTTGAACCTGCATAAGCTACCTGGATAACGATGTAAGTCCTGTAGAGCTCTGGGGGTGGTGTTTATAAAGGTATTGAGGTTTAAAAAAATATATCAGTAGAAGAATGAAGAGTCACATGGCAAAGCTTAAGATACATAAAAGAGGGGAGGGAAGGAAAAGCCTACTTAATGTCAGAGGAGAAATTAACATATACCAATGTTTACACGTGGTTGTTTGGACTTCCTTAATGCAGTGTTGAATTGCTATAGCTGCACAAACTAAGAGGCCTTAAGTCAGGTAATCTGTGTGTGTAGCGACAAAGGGCCAGGGGCCAGGTGAGGGTGATCAGTTCCCTATAGAAAAGAACTGGGGGGGGGGGGGATCTGACTCTGTGATACAGAGCTCGCTGGCTCTGAACCCCAGCATCCTTCTCACCCCTAAAAAACAGAGCCAATATGTGCCAAGCAGTGATAGCATTTCATGTAACCCTAGCAATGTGCAATGTGCTATTTAATCCTAACAATTCAGGCACAAAACTTTGTCATAGATAAGCAAATGCCACAATTTGACCAACAACAGCTGGGCTTGGACATACACAAAGGTTGACTGATGGAAAATTACCCAGGATTTAGGAATGGAGAAGCCAAAGAGATAGAAGACAAAGGTATTAAAATGTTCTACGGTACTGGGTCCCGGTAAGAATGCATGTAGCAAAAAATGGTTCAGAACCTTTAATTTATAGATGAAAAAAACCCAGAACCATAGAAAATGTGGGAACAAGGAATACAACGAGGTATAAAAACCAGTCATAAATTAGATTAAGAAGGAAAGGAGGAACAATTCCAGCTGAGAAACAGAAAGCGGAAAACCCGATTAAAAGACTACTAAAGGGGGCCGAATGTCTCAGCAACAGGTAGTTTATTATGATGAGATGCCCTGAAGCTCTCAGGACAGAGGATTCGGGATGTAGCTGTCCAGAGTAAAGATGGCAAGCAGAAAGCCTGAGACTCTTGTGAATGTGCAAGCCTCAGGAAGACCAAGGTTCAAATCCGAGTCTAAGCAACTGGGATAACAGCTGATCCCAAACAGAAAAGACCACAATCTAGTGAGCTTGCTGGGATATCCAAAGAGGGGCGTGGCCAGTGAGGAAACCAGCCTTACCTACAAGCTTAGACAAAAGCCAGGAAGACTGAACAGCTGGGAGTCAGCGTTGCGGCTTCTGCTGCATCAATTCCTATAACTGTTTTAATTCAGTTATGACAACAGAGTGCCAATTTGACTGTTTTGTGAGTGCTATGATGACAGAGTATTGATGTATGCATCATACCTCCACTCCCAGAAGAGGCAGGCATAGTTAGGAGGCCACCAAGGTTAGTGACAAGTGCAGCAACCTCATAAATAGGGTTCAATGAAAAAAAAATCTGAAAACTACTCTAACTACAAGAAACAAATGGAAACAATGCAACTTACTGAGACTTAAGGAGGCTATAAGAATTCTAAGAAGGTTTTCCAAAGGCTGCATTTATTTTATTTTCATCAGTCTTTATAATGTTTAGAGTTACCTATGATTGCGATAAGTCCAAAGTTACCATCACCCCGAGTGAGAGCTTTACAGAAAGCCATAGAACTAAAATGCAGTAACTAAGCACATCACTCCCTGCTTTTGCCACACATGTCCAGCATCCCATGCTAAGGTCAAGCTGCCTCCGTGTTTCTAACACATGCTACTGGATCACAACACAGTGGGGAAGGTAGGAAGGGGCACAGTGAGGTCAGGTATATGGCCCATGCCACTCTCTACGTCAGGATGGATGGGAAAATTACAACGGGCTTTGTCTCATTTCCCCAACTTTCATGTATTTATTAAAACTGTTAATCTCCTAAAAATCACGTCTTCCTTCCCTGCTAGTTCAAGATGACTTTCTATTTCTATTTAATGCAGCCATAATTTTATTTTATGGGATTAATTCAGTGAATGAAAAAACATCCTTAATGTTGTATATAAATCTATTTGTTTGGGTAAGAAAATACTGTTTTAAGTAACTCTTACATCACTGCAGCATCCTAAAGCAGAAAGAACAAATTGGGATGGATGGAAGGAATGAACTGTGCAGCTGACACTAGCTTTGGAATTTTGACGGACAAATGAAAGAGTAGAATCGGCTTTTTACACCTACCAACAAATAACGAAATACGTAAAAATTCCAAATCTTAATCCTTGAATGGGATCAGTAGAATACACCAGCTTGATATTAACACACTGCTGGAGAAGACTTAATATTCTTTTAGCCCTTGCTTTAAAAAACAGATAATAACTGAATGACAACAGATGTGTTTTGTCAAAGGAAGAAAAACAAAGACGTATGTCACAATGGTTTCAATGGTGGCAGAAGAGAGAGGGATGATGGTATTTTAGACATTGCAGCATACCTGCCATGAACAGTAGCAGATTTGAGAATATCTCCAGGCAGGACCACTGAGAGTTCAATGTCTTTATCTATCATATTGTCTTGATGCTCTGTGATGACAGCAGTAGATTCTACAGGGTCCTCTGCAGAAGAGACATCCATGCCCTTCATCTCAGCTGGAGGAAGAGGTGCCTTCGCCTTTGTTTTCTTCCTACAATAAGAAGAAAATTCAGAAAATAAGAAAGATGCTTCCTTGTATTACCTAGTTTTATTAAAGAAAAACAACAACAACAACAAAAACTAAACAAAAAAATCCCTAAGTTTTGATGACTTTCACATCAGAAAAATTATAATCTATTAAATACATGAAAAATACTCATCACTAGACATTAGGGAAAGAACCTAAAATAACAATGAGACCTCAGCTCATCGCAATTAGAACAATATTAACAGGAAAAAATAACAATGAATACTACAAGATTTACAGGTAAAGGAGCCCTTACAAACAGTTAAGTACAACAGTAAACTAGTCAAACTGCTTCAGAAATCTGTATGCCAGTTCTGCATTAAAATCACAACCAATGAACTGGATGACCCAGCTGTGCTACTCAGCTCTTCACTCAAAGGGCTCTTAAGTCAGCATACCACAGCATCTTTGTTAAAGGATATTTACTGCCCCACTATTTACAATGGCCACACTGTGGACTCACCTTAGGTGTCCGTCAACAAGAATGCATAAAGAAAACAGGTATGTACACACTCAATGGCATATGATTCAGCTGTGGTATACAATTATGTCACTTGCAATAAAACTGATGCAACTGAGGATTGCAAGAGTAAGTGAATTCCGACTCAGAAAGACAAAGCATGCACATTCTTACTCATCTGTGGATCCTAGATTTTATATAGGTACATAGAATCCTTTCTATGTGTATGATCTTAAAGTAGAAACTATCTACTTTAAAGTAACAATGAATACTACAAGATTTACAGGTAAAGGAGCCCTTACAAACAGTTAAGTACAACAGTATTGAATCAACAGTACTGTGAAGAGTACACAGCATCTATGTGAATGAAGATGACTAACGGGAGAGGGGGAAGGCAGAAGAGTAAAGATATGGCGATGAAGAATGGCAGTATGTATCTTTATGAAAATGTCCTTATGAAACCCAGAGCTCTCTGTGTATAATTGGCATATACTTAAACAAAGAAGACAAGATAAAGAAAATCCATATTGGCCTTCATCCAGTTTAGTAAATGTGTACAGCCCTACTGAAGTAATAATAGCATCTCTTCTTAGATGAGATAACTTACTAACAATGTCTCAAGATGGACTGTTGTACTGTACACCTCACAGCGGTCCCTGAGTCGTTCCTGCTTTCTTTCCAGGTTAGTGTACCCTACTTCTCTACCCACATAAACCTCATCTACCCTTTACCATCTAGCTTACTTCACCCTCTGGTCCCAAACATTCACACAGAACTTCTTTCTTCTTTGACCTGATACAGTGTTTGCAACTGAATCTCTAAATCTATCAATTTTTTTCTATGTCTCCCTGATTACCAGATCACCGCTCTGAATTTATAAGAAGGAAAGTTTTAAGTGGCTAGTTTTGGTACTGCTCCTACCACTGAACAGTGAACTGTCTGTAAAACATTCATCTGGACATGACTGTTACCCAGTAGGCATTTTCAGATGAGTTTAACTGAGGCAGGAAAGATCCACCCTGAATGTAGGCACTACCTTCCGGAAGGCTAGGGCGCTGACTGAATAGAAGGGAGAATGGGAGGGAACACTGGCATTCATCTCTGCCCTAGAATCCTAATTATTGTGACTTCCTCACCATGACAGAATATGCTGGCAATTTAGGAGCCAAAATACACTCTTCGTTGCTTTTGTCAAAAACACTTCGTTGTACTGAAAAACTAAAATAAAATAAATAAAAACATAAAGTAACTTTCCTAACCTTGTATGTAGTTCATAGACCTGTAAAACTGCTATGTAGATGGAATATGGAAGGCTTTGGAGCTGCAGGCTACAGAAGCCCAAGAATATTATGAGCAGAACTGAATGGACTATTCAAGACTTCAGAAGACCAGAATGCCTTCAGAAACACAGGCAGGAAAGGTCAGGTTCTCGAGAGGTTTCTGAGATGAACAGGACTTTATCAGGAACTGAGTTAGAGGCCATTCATGTTGTGTTCTGGCAACGAGTCTGGCTGCATTCTAAAAACTTGAGCGAGGCTAAAAGCAATGCCCTGAGTTATTCAGCAGAGCAAACTTAAAGGCAAATACATTCAGAACGTGGCCTAGTGTTTGCTCACGCTATTTATTGAGGTTTCCGTGAGATTCACAGCAGAAATTTAAAAGTGTGCAGTGTAGCACACAGAAAGGAACTTGAATATGGTGAAAGGTACAGACAGACAAGATCATGACAGATGAAATAGCAGCAAAGAGATTAATTAGTGCCAGAAAGATAAATCTTGTACTCTTAAGTGGGTAACAGGAAAGATGTCCTGAGGGCAAGGCCTCATCTATGGAAGGCACCAACTTTTAGAAATGCAAATCAATTTGACAAGAGAGATCCTGAATTGAAAATGCCACAGACAGTCTTTCCTGTTGAAGGGATTCCCTGTTTATAAATACATACTCAGGAAAAGTGATTTTCCTAGGTTTCAGTCCCACAAAACTCAAAGGCCAATGTAGCTATGGAAGAGGAGTCCAGGTTGTATCTTTCTTGAGTTGGCAGCAGAACTTGGGAGCATCATGCACAGGCGCTGCATTTATTAGTGTGTAAAAAATGTAGAACTTATAGGATCATGGTGGTTTACATCACGGTTGTATAAAGCCACTTAGACTAAGCAAAGTTAGGCTCCCTACTGTGAAATATTGCTCCACGACAATGAAAATAATGCCCAGCTCTAGTGAAAAACCCAGTATGTTGGAAATGTTAGTACCACTGGATGTCCAGTAAGGAAAGCTGCAGGCATGGAGCGAAACTGGTTTATGTCAGAGCGATGGATACTTTAGATGGCTTAAGGACCTTGTCTTGCCATGTCTCCTGGAGTAAGAGCATCATACTTCTCATATCTGGATACAAAGCTGAGGATTGAATATTTTCCCTGCTTGGTTTCCCTTTCTTTGCCTCCATTCCTCCTCTTTGGAAGATGCACATCTACACTATCCCTCTGTATACTGGAAGAAACAATAATGCAGTTTTTAAAACTTCTCCTTTTACAAGGCCTCACAGTTAATTTACCTTGGGTCTCATAAGACACTTTGGACTTCCGAACAATGCTAGAACTGTTAATAACTTGGGATTCTTACAGATGTTTTATGAGACAGATATGAGTCTTTGAAGACTGTAAGTGTGGGGTTATGGCTTAAAATCTGTTTGATTATCAAGTTCACGAGAGATAGACTTGTAACTGCTTAAAATTCACAATTAACATGGATACATTTAAAATCACCTAGGAGGAATCACTTTGTGTTTTGGCTAAAAAGTAAGTCAAGTGTAGAATCACCTAAGAGACAGACTTATGGGGCAGACCTGGGAAAGTGTTCCTGGGAAAGTTTACCTGAGGGAGGAAGATCCACCTTTATATGGGTGGTACCATTCTAAGGCCTGACAGTGCAACCAAATCCAAGAAAGCAAGCAGCCAGAGCTCCAGCCTGCACAATCATCTCCCCCTCCTACTGACCCAGGATGCTCCCAGGCTCCCTACCATGATGGACTACACTTTCTGAAGTAGTTTTTGCTACATACTTTGTCACGACAGGAAGAGTTGCAACTGTAACTGTAACAAATACAGTTATTTCATATGTTATCAATTGGATCCAATGAAATTTCACAAATACATACGCTAATAAATATTTTCAGTGTCAAAAGGACAATGAGGCTACCTGGAAATAGAAAGAGCAGGCTTCCCCCAAACAATTCTTACAGAAACAATTAAGTGATGTGATGGTCTTTAAAAAATGAAGTGTGAAAAAAACTATAACTAATGACATATGTATATTATTTAAATAAAATTAAAAGTTTGAAAATGTTATCTTAAAAAAATAATTGTAGGGCTAGAGAAATAGCTCAGAGTTTAAGAGCAATGGCTGCTGTTCCAGAGAACATGGGGTTGGTTCCCAGCACACACATGGCAGCTAATACCTATCTGTAACTCTAGTTCCACATGGGATACACTCTTCTGGTTTCTATGAGCAGCAGGCATACACGAGGAGCACAAATGTGTATGCAGCAAAACATTTTTACACAGACAATATTTAAAAAAAAACCCTAATTGCTTTGGAAGGAAAAATATTATTCCTTTTCTCCAAGGACAAACTTAAATTTTAATTCTGCATTTCCTGAGAAAATGTAAGATCCACACAAGATAAACATACCATCCTCCCACTCAGTAAATTTACATTTATAAACTCAAGCAACTTTAAGCACTGTAGTAAAAAGGCAGAGGTAGTTGTTTGTATACCAGGTTATTAAAATAACTAGTCTTTAAGTTTTAGTCATATAATCAGATTTATATTTAGGAAAGGCTTATTTCGTGATTTGCAATAAAAAAAAAAGTGTTTAAAGCTGTTGCTGTATATAAAAAGTCTTTTTATTTCCAAAGGAAAATGTTACTCTATGCAAAATTTTAATCCATAGAAACTGACTACTCATATATTACAAACACTTATCCTATAATAGATAATTTCTATATCCAATACTAATAAGCACAAGAGACCTAAAGACAAATGATTCAAATATGACTTTCAAAGGCGTGGCCCACAGGGCTGACAGATATACAAAATTACCATGAAGTCTGACGATGGATAAAAGCTAGCTATGCAAAATACTGCAGTCATGAGAAGAGAATCTAACTTTCCTGGGAAGCAGAAGGTTTTAAATATGGGGAGTACTAATACGTGGATTTGGGTGAAGAGACCTAAATATATGGGAAACACCTAGAAATAATTTAAATTTCTGGCAGAGAAAGGAAATGAAGGCATACTTGTAGAATTGAACACTATGATAAAACTCTACAGAGAAGAGAAAGGAGATAAAAAGTCAGTGAATCAGCTGAAAACATAAGAGGATTCAATCAAGCGGCTTTAGTATAAAGGTAATATGCTTAGGTCAACAGTCTACTTACACATGAGCAAAAACTACTCCGAAATCACAGTGATTGGAAAATTCCTTTTATAACAGCAAGAAAACAAC